TTTTTTTTTTTTTTTTTAAAAATTAAACACAGTGAACAAAATTGGGTGATAGCCTGAGATTGCATCTATATCATGAACGAGGGTGTTGAGGATTTATTCCTTCTGCTTTCAGTGGCCTCGAGTGGCCTTCAGTCCTGCTGCTGAGTGTTAGAAATGGTCACTCCAAATGAATTTTGGGGGGAAGGGAGGTAAGAAAGTTGAAGGCCCTAAACATGAGCCTATATAAGGTAATAGGTAAGAAAATATGATGCTCCTTATCTTTGTAACTTCACATTAAAGTTCTTGTTAAGAAGTATTGCCTGCTGTTTTGTGGACTATTTTGCTAGCTTTTCAGCTAACATTATTATTATATTATTATTGAGCCAATTTTTTGTCTTTTATTTGCTTTCTAAACAAATGTGGAATGGAGGCAGGTGAATTTGATTTGTTATAATTTCTAGGATTCCCCCCACACCCGGCACCTTTAATTAATCTCTAAAAGCTATCTTTCCTTCCTCCAGGAGGGCTTTGTGGAGCAGGTCCTTGGCCCTAAAACTTAACTCCACAAACCATTGCCACCCCCACGGGACTGGGTTTTTGCCCATAGGGCTTACAGTGACAGAAGTGACTTTTGAGGCAGAGGTGAGGTATAAGGCCGATTTTGGAGCTCACTCCTCTCTTCTGAAGGACTTTGTTAGGAAGGGGGGGCGGGCATACTACTGCCCACGTGCATTTGGTCGTTTATCTCCTTGCCTATGAGTTGTAAGGAGAGAACACTTGAGTGTTGAGTTCAATAGGGCTTTTCTGCTTCCAGGGCCAATGTTTCTGCGTAACAGGTTGGGAGGCTCTACATAATGGGTCTAGCATATTGTCAGCAGGTGGAGGACAGAGCCTGGCTGCTGAGACTTAACCCTCAGGCCTCCTGAGCATGTGTGTCTTCCTTGTCTTGCATGTCCCTGTCTCTTGCTTTGGCCTGTCTCAGACTATCCATGCTTAGCATGGACACTGAAGGTGCCCAGTGGGACTCAGAACACATCAGAGCTGGGGTGACAGGCCTGGGTGACTGTCTTTTGCTGTGACACATCAACTGGAATTGTCTTTCATTTTTCTTGGGTGAAATTCTCTGTTCATGTAAAATCTCTTGAGATGATTCTTTTGGACAAGTCTTAAAGTGCCAGTCAAAAGTTTAGTGTACGGTATTGACAAAATTCACTCGTGTTAATCTGTGGCACTGAACAGTACTGTGCAGTTGGTCTGTCATAGAGCCTTCATTGTGTACCTTCAGAGGAGAGAAACTGGATTGTAAGTGGCCAGAAAAATATTACAGCATCGTGCTGATCTAATAACAGAGTGAAAAGTATAGTTAAGTTTAATTGTAACTCTAGAATGTTTTTCTCTTGTGTTTACTAGACTTCATGAGGAAATAATCGACTTTTATAACTTCATGTCCCCTTGTCCTGAAGAAGCAGCCATGAGACGAGAGGTGGTGAAACGAATTGAAACTGTGGTTAAAGATCTCTGGCCAACGGCTGATGTGGGTATAGCCTTTGTACTTCTCTGTCACATACAAGTAAACGTGAGCACCCCACATTGTAACATGTCTATCATGTCTGTACAGACCTGTGTCTCCCCCCTTGGCCCAAGGCAAGGGTTCTCCAGGTGTGGTCCTGGGCCAGGCAGCAGCACATCACCTGAGGGCTTGTTAGAAATGCACCTGCTGAGTCAGACACCTTGGGGTGGGGCAGGGGTCTGTCTTTAACACGCCCTCCTGGTGGTCCTGACACATTCAAGTGTGAGGACCACTGGCTTAATGGAAGGTTTTTTGAACTGATGTGATTATTTTTCTTTTAAATTCACCTTAAGGTTAGAAATTTTACCCCTTCCCCCATCACTCATCGTAACATAAGTTCATTTTTGTGAAAATTGAAAGTGTTTCCTCGCATACCACTTTTACAGTAAATGTACTCCGTTGAGGTGAAAGTCACTGGCATTTCTACTGCTTGGTGCAGGCAGCATGAACATGTCCTCTGACTAAGTTATGATGGCCCACCCATAGACTCCTGTCCTAGTTGATGAGTTTTTCCTATCAGTGACCATGACTGGTGACCCACCAATGGTGGAGATAAGCTGGGCTGCTGAAGGGCACATGAGCTCCAAGTGAGCCAGGCAGCAACTCAATTCCCCTCCTCTTTTTAAGTGACTTACAGTATCCTTGGCTTTAAGTTTAGTGCCCTGAACAGTGCCCCACCTCTGTCCTAGCTATGGGTTTGAAAATTGTTGGAGAGTTTGAACCAGGCTCCAAAAAGTCCTTGGCTTTGGCAGGTGTGGGCAAGGCCAATAATTATTTTGTCTCTTAATTTTGAGTTTTAAAAAATTCCTTTTTAGGGCAGGTCTTTAACTTAAAGATTAAGTAGGTTTCATTGGATTGTTTTTGTGTCCCCTCAATGTGCAGGGCAATTTTAATTTTCCCCAAAGTAGGAGTGAGGCCTTTCTTTCAGTGAGAAGTTGTCACTTTCAGATAACTGAGTTGTCGCCTCTTTTAAGACAGTCATTCTTTCTTTCAGGTACAGATATTTGGCAGCTTTAGTACTGGTCTCTATCTTCCAACCAGGTGAGTGCCGGGTTAGTGTTTATGTTTATCTGGAGGAGGATGGCCGTGTCTCTATTCAGGGCTCGTAGTAGGTTCTTTGTATTCAAATCTAAGATTAAACAGTACTTTGTTAAGATTTTTATTTGATAGAAAAATGTCAAACAAGTTTGCATTCTAAAGTCATTCTCCAGTGTTTCCCCATCAAGGACTCTTTTAATATCCAAATTAATTTTATGTACATTGTTTCATTAAAAGTCTATTTTTTTGTTAACCCCATTAGCATTTGGAGACTGAAGAGACCATAACCTCAGGGTTTGGAGTTGGCATTGGCAGGGCCAGTGGGGAAGGGAACAGATTAGAGGGGTCCAGGAATCCTGGGTTAGTTAGCAGGAGTGATCCAGTGTAGAGAGCACAGAGTAAAGGCCTGGAAACCTCAGAAGGGCAGGCACTTTATTTCAGTCCCTCATTACCTCGAGATGTTGGGAAACTGTCAGCCTTTTTGCTTTGAGTCTTTATGTTACAAACACTACTTGTTAAGCTGCATTTTCTCTCCTTGAGAGGGGTATTCGTATGGGGTTACCTACGGCCCTTGAAGGAGATGGGAGCATGTGTGCTGTGGCAGCATCCCACCCCAGACGCCTGTTCCCACATGGTGAGGTGCGCAGCGGTTCACGATCACTTTCCTTTTGCCCAGTGACATTGACTTAGTGGTCTTTGGAAAATGGGAGCGGCCTCCTCTCCAGCTGTTGGAGCAGGCCTTGAGGAAGCACAACGTGGCTGAGCCGGGCTCCATCAAAGTCCTGGACAAAGCTACAGTAAGTGTGGGCCTGCCCGATGCCTGGTGATTAACTAAGGTTGTCTGCAGCAGGTATTGGTTATGTTTCTGAAGACCTCTCTGCTTTTGGTGTAAACGTGCTTCCTAGTTATATGTTCCTCATAGTTAGGATCACCAGCTGAGAACCTGTTCAGTGACAGTCTGAATCTCACAGTTGTGAGAGCATCCAACTATTCCTGGCACTAGGGTACATGACTGTCGACTTCTGTTAGGGTGTGTGAGGAAGGGATGTTAGTACGGGAAATGAGGCAGGTTCAGCTGCTGCCCTTTCTGGAGAATGTATCTAAATGATTAAACTATGGCTTTTATTACGTAGAAAAAGATTACCATTTGCCAAGTTATACTTCAGAAAGAAGAAACTAACCTGTTTCATTGTTCTAAAAATACACACTTATGAAAAACCTCTCATCTTGGGGAGGAGTTGGGAGACTGATTTTGAAGTATGCTTGTCAAGATTTCTCTAAGTTCAAGATTAGAAATGGTGCAGGAACTGTAAGTTACTTGCCTATTGTGTAATAGTTATAAGCTCACCTGGACTACAGACTAACATTTCATTTTAAATTGTGTTTCAACCTATATGAAGCCGGATTAACGCCTTTTAGTTTTAAGACAATTGTCAGAAATTAAGATGGTAGCTGTAACTTGCTCATGTAGTGGAACCATTTGCTCACTTGCCTTCTAGCACCATGGATTAGTTTTGGCTGTTTTTTTAAACCACTTACAGTCATTATGTCAGTTAATCCTCCAAGCCACTCTCATTAGCAGAAACTATAGTCTTTCACATTTTATAGGTGAGGAAACAGAGAGGTTAGGTAGTTAGCCCAGCATGGGTCCAACAGCCATGCCTTTTCCTCTGTTGACAGAGGTCTTCTCTCAGCTGGGTGTCCTTGGCAGTTGGCCCCAGCTGAGCATTTTAGATCAGGTTGTGCTGAAATGTCTGTTCCTATATTGACTTCTAGACATTGTAAACCTTTAACGAGACCCCAATTGTTTTGGTGAAGGGAATGTCCTTTTTATTCTTTAGAGGCTGAATGAACAAAACATTGCCTTTTCTTCTGGAAAAACACAATTTTTGGGGTGGGAGTGATCTGAATGGTTGCTTGGGAATCTTTTATGAAGCCAGTTTTGAGTGCCTTTTGGTGAATATTTCTATTGATGAGTATTTCCAAAATGGCCTTTTATTCTCTGATTTTTAGGGGGAAAATATTTTTTTTTAGTTTAGTTTAAAGATTGAAACCCAAAGTAGAATTGTTTGAAGAAACAACATCAGTACAAATTTTTTAAATGGCTTTGAAGTTACTTTGAATGTTCTCAGAAATTCTAGCAAACGTAACTTGGATACCAGGAGTTCCTCCCCCTCACTGGGCACTCATGGTGGAACTGGGACTTAGCTGGCTTTTCCTTGTGGTAGGCAGGCGTGCAGCGCCTGGGCCCTCTTTCTCCTTCCCTCGGGCACCTGTTCCCCTTCCCCCCACCCCCTTGGCATCAAGAAGCAGATAGTGGCCATGATTGATGCTCGATCACTGGCAAGGTGCTGAGTTAGGTCAACAGGTCTGGGCAGAGGTGTTGTTGGGACTTGGGGGGGG